TTAAAAAGCATTGTTAGGGATAGAAAATGTACTTAAATAAGAAAAATTGTAAATCACCAGGAAGATATGGAAATTCTAAATTTGCCTAATCTAATAAAATAGTTATAAAATATATAAAACAAAATTTGGAGGATCTAAAGGAGAGAATTAGTCAATTCATCCTTATTCTAGAAAATTTTGACATAATGTTCTTATTTAAGGGAAGGTTGAGCAGACAAAAAACTAGCTAAGAAAGGCAGTTTAACAATACAAGCAGCATGGTGAATTTAACTGACATATATAGAACTCTGCATCTTACAATTAGCGGATATACATCTCTCAGGAAACCTTTTACAAAAATGGACCATGCATCAGTCCACACACCAGACCCAACATATTTCAAAGAATTAATAATACAGGTTTTCCTGACCACAATGTAGGCAAATTACAAGTCAACAGCAGAAAGATAATAAGAGTATTACCCACATATTTGCAAATTAAAAATTCTAAACAACTCATAGGTTGAGTAAGAATCATGACAAAATCTAAAAATGCATAGAACTAAATAATAATGAAAATACTACCCATTAAAACTTGTGGACTCAAAGAAGGAATTAAGGAAATTTATAGCACCAGTTGTGATTATATCAGAAAAGAAGAAATGCTGAAATTAATTAGCTAAGTGTCAAACACGAAAGTTAAGAAAAGGTGGGTAATGAGATAAAGTAGAGCAGAAATTAATAAAATTGAAAGTAAAGATACAATACAATTAAGAAAGCCAAAAGTCGTTACTTGAAAAGGCCAAATAAAATAGACATTTTTTTCTTGTGTAAGTGACAATAAAAATTCAGATAAAATACAAATAAAAATACTTGAAGAGAGGGATGTAGAGACATAGCAGAGATTAAAAGTATAACTAGAGATTTCTGATTCTGGGTGTGATGCACCAACACCCGAGATGATCCCCAGCCCCTGCAGAAAACAGCTTTAAGACGTGAGCTTAGTAAAAACAAAGCAGCTGCGGGAAGACACTGGCGAGTGGACAGAAGCAGACAGATTCTGCAGGGGAGCCTCTTTCAGGAGGCAAGACAGGGTGTTAACAAGTCAGATCCCATCTCCAAGGCCTTAGCCAGCAGCTCAGTGCAGCCTCATGGTGCGCACACTGGCAGCAGCAGTGCGCCTGCAAAAATACACAGTCTCTCTTGCCTGGGGAACCCAGAAAAAAGAAGGCAGAAATAAAGGAGTGCTGAAAAAGTGGGGAAAACCCAGAGGAAAAGATCCAGAGAGGGACTCCCCTGTCACTGCCTTGTGGCATCTCTGATTGACCCATGAACCATCTGTGTTTGGAGAGAATCAGAGCAGTTCAGCTGAAGGTAAAGTGTCTGAGTTGAGAATGAAGATGCTGCCCAAGAAACGAAGTTGGCAGTCCACGCCTAGCAGAGAGAATTACCTGCTGCAGGAAAGTGAACAATTGGAGAATTGGAGAATACCAAAACCCAGAATGTCTAGAATGAATGTCCGTGATATCTAAGATATAACACACAATTATCTGACACACAAAGAACCAAAAAGACCCAGTGGAACATACTCTCAATGTAAAAGAAAATTCAGTCTGACCCCGAGATGAAACAGATTTTGGAACTGATAGACAAGGATTTTAAAGGAACTGTTATAATTATCTTCAATGAATTAACACAAGCATGTTTTCATTGAATGAAAATCTCAACAGAAAAATAGAAACAATAAAGAGAACCAAATGGAAATTCTGAAACAGAAGAATACAAATTTTGAAATTAAAAAATTTACTGGATGGACTTGATGCCAAATGATTATGACAAAGGAAAGACAAAATGACCTTGATGATGGATCAATAAGAATTTTTCAACATGAACAAAGAGAAAAAAATTTAAAGGAACAGAGCATCAGGGACTGTTAGATAAAATCAAGCTGCCCAGTACATGTGCAACTGTAATACCAGAGTGAGAGGAGATGGATAAAGGGGTAGCAAAAACATTTGGCAAATTTAATGGCTAAAGATTTGATGAAGACATCAATTTACAGATACAGGATGCTCAGCAAACATCAAAGAAACACAACGAAGCCCAGTCTAAAGTGCATCACAGTCAACTGTTGAAAACCAAAGGCAACAAATAAGTCTTGAAAACAGCAAAAGACTAGGGCTGGCTCCGTGGCTGAGTGGTTAAGTTCGCGTGCTCTGCTGTGGCAGCCCAGGGTTGGGATCCTGGGCGTGGACATGGCCCCGCTTGTCAGGCCACATTGAGGCGGCGTCCCACATCCCACAACTAGAAGGACATGCAACTAAGATATACAACTCTGTACAGGGGGGTTTCGGGAGATAAAGCAGAAAAAAAAAAAAGGAAGAAAGAAAACAGCAAAAGAAAAATGCTGGGAAATAACTATTCAGTTAATAGCTGATTCTCATTAGAAACCATGGTGACCAGAAGAGACTGGGACAAAGTTTCAAAATGCTAAAAGGAAAAAAACCTCAAACTATCAACCTAGAAATCTATATTAAGAGAAAATATCCTTCAAGAATGAAAGTTAATGAGGCCAGCCTGGTGGCATAGTGCTTAAGTTTGCACACTATGCTTCAGCAGCCCAGGGTTTGCCAGTTTGTATCCCAGGCATAGACCTACACACTGTTCATCAAGCCAAATAGAGGGAAAAGGGCACGGATGTTAGCTCAGCAACAATCTTCCTCACCAAAAAAAAAAAAAGTTAATTGAAGACATTTTCAGGTAAAACCAAATTAAAAGAATTGATTGGGGGCCAGCCCGTGGCACAGCAGTTAAGTTCGAACGTTCTGCTTCAGCAGCCCGGGGTTCACTGGTTCGGATCCTGAGCGTGGACATGACACCGCTTGGCAAGCCATGCTGTGGTAGGCGTCCCACATATAAAGTAGAGGAAGATGGGCACGGATGTTAGCTCAGGGCCAGTCTTCTTCAGCAGAAAGAGGAAGATTGGCGGCAGATGTTAGCTCAGGGCTAATCTTCCTAAAAAAAAAAAAAAAAAAGAATTGGTTGCCAGCAGATCCATACAACAAGAATCCTAAAGAAAGTTCTTCAAGAAGTAGGAAAATGATACCCAGTGGAAACTCAGATCCTTAAGAAAAAACAAAAAGCATCAGAAATGGTAAATAGTGGGTAAATGTAAAGGACAATTTTTCTTTTTGTCTTCTCCTTAATTTCTTTTCAACTCTGCAGACTGTGAAAAAGTAAGACTATATATTATGATCCCTAAGACAACCACTAAAAAAAATGCAAAGAAATACAGCTAATCATAGGGAAATTAAAATTCTAAAAACTATTCAACAATAAAATGAAAGCCAGGAAACAAGAGGCAAAAAAGAAGTAGAAGAGACAAGAAGCAAAGAAAACACCCCGGAAATGATAGACCAAGCTCAGCCACAGCCGTGATTTCATTAAATGTGCGTATGGAACATTTACCAGGCTAGGCCAGATTATGGACCATAAAAATGTCTTTATTAGTTTTAAAAGATTGAAATCATGTACAGAGTATTCTTTGATCCAGTGAATTTAAATTAAAAGTCTATTAAAATAAGAGGGCCAGAATAACTCTACATATTTGGAAATTAAACAACACATTTCTAAATGATCATCAGGCCAAGCTGACATTACAGGGAAAATTAGAAATAATTTGAACTGAATAATAATGTAATTCAGCATATCAAAATTTGTGAGATGTAGCTCACACCATCCACAGAGGGAAAGTTTTAGCTTTAATAGTTTTATTAGAAAAGATGGAAAATCAAAACAAAGGTGTAAGCTTCCGCCTCCACAAACTAGAAACAGAAGAGAAAGTTAATGCCAAAGCAGGTAGAAGGGAGCAATGAAAATGAGAAGAACATCGATCTATGAAGTAAGACACAGAAAGAATGGAAATGAGAACACGGTTTGAATTAATCCAGTCTGCACGGCGTTTTTCATTCACCGACTGACTGTAGTGTGACGAGCGTTTACCATCAAGCTGGCTCAGTGTTACCACCTCTGCTCAGAAAGACAGTATTTTTCCTTCTCTCTGTGCGCCCTGCCCTGCCTGTTCATCAACAACCTTACTTTCAGATAGTTTACCCTTTCATTCGCAGTGTGTGTACACTCACACACACCCCGCTACATGCATACTGTCCAGTGGAAGTGTTTTATTAATTTCCTAAGGGGATATTTGAAATCTTGTTTGATTATACAAAGAGCAGTGTCACTGAGGACACAGTGTCTAGATTCAAAGATATGCATGACAGCGAAATGGCCGATTCCTCCAGGAGTAGCAGAAGACGCTTGTGGACAAACTGAAGACAATTTCGCAGGATATGGATGTAGGTGTACGCGTGTGTACATATACAGATTTCACCCCAAAGTTCAGATAAAAGCAATTGGTCCCTTTAGTGCCAGTTATCTTCCATCCCTTGCGGTAGCAACTTTCTTAATCTGCTCTGTGTGTCGACTCTGTGTGTCCTACCCAAGAAAATCCTAGAATGTTCTAAAGATTTTCTGGGTGTATGTGCTTGTGCTTTGTATGCCAGTGTGTAGAGCAGAGAAAAGATTCAGCGAGAAACTGCACGTGAGGTAATATTGAGAGGAGCTGGATGTATTTCGCCATATGTGAAGGACTCTTTGATGAAACTCAGGATATATATATTTTTGGAACTAGTCAATTTATTTTATGTACATGTCGCTCAAAGCCTAGTCGAGGGGCCAGCCTGATTGACTTTGCATGCTCCACTTTGGTGGCCCGGGTTTCACAGGTTCGGATCCCAGATGCAGACCTACACACCTCTGATGAAGCCACACTGTGGTGGCATCCCATATACAAAGTAGAGGAAGACTGGCACAGATGTTAGCTCAGCAACAATCTTCATCAAGCAAAAAGAGGACGATTGGCAATAGATGTCACCTCAGGGCCAATCTTCCTCACCAAAAAAAAAAAAGAGGCTAGGTGAGTTTCTTGATTTTCACAGTTGCTTTTTATTTCCTCTCTTATAGATAAAGAATTCGTCTACAGAGAACAGAAAGGGAATGTGATACTACGGAATGTTGAAACAAATATGTCTACAGTGTTAATAGAAGGCAAAAAAATTGTAAGTACTCTCTTTAATGACCAGGATAATTTCACTTTTCCCTCCTGCGAGTTGATAAAGCAGAAAATGACTTCAGGTTTCAACTTTTAGTCTAGCCCAGCAGAAGCAATAAACTTGTAATGCTGCGGGTGGAGGGACCAAGGATAACGTGAAATTGAAACCACCCTAATTTAATGAGATGAAAGCACAGTTTCTTTCCGTGTAGGGGAAATTTCTCTGCAGGTGTTGGAAACAAGTGTTGCATATGATATATAATTGAAAGATCAAGTCCTAAGCCTTTCCACATTTACAGAACAATTGCAGTAACGCACAGAGAATGCTTCAGGAGGACTTACTTGATCTTGGGTTTTTTAAAAACTCATCTCCACCTGCACAGGGAATATTAATTTAGGCACTGACTGTACTTACTCTAGTGACATTAAGTGATGTTTATGCTTTAAAACAAGTACTGAGTAGATATGAATGCCCCTGCTTTATAATCTGGAAAACCTGTTTTCCCAAAGAATTAAATGACATTAAGATTTGGAGTTCAGGTACAGTTGAAGATATTTATTAAAAATATTGACCGAAGTTAGTACTAAAAATCAATTAAAAAGAATGAACTTTTTTTTTTTTTTTTTTTTTTTTACAATATGCTCATGCTCATTATTAGAAGGTATAAATCTCCAGCTTTAGGAAGTGGATCATTTTCTTGTCCAATACACTGGGAAATTAAAGGAAAAATCTAAGGCGAATTCCAGATTGGAGTGATCATAACACGCCTCCGGTGTGAAACATCGGAATCCTAGACTCCAGAGATTAGAGGAGACCATAGAGAAAATCAGTCAGCTGCCTGGTTTTACGGCTAAGGACCCTGAGCAGAGCTGGTGGGGAGCTTTCCGGAGCTCGTTGCTGACTGGGTGAAGATTCAGGTGGTCCCTGGAGCCTCCATCCCAGGGACAAGAAAGGATGGCTCCTTCTTCCTGCCACCCCATTTCTGGACCCACAGAAATGCTGCTCTCCCTTCCTTTCCCCCTCAAGAACATTTAACTCACTATTTAAATTCTTTCTTTTTTTTTTCTTTTTTTTGGTGTACAGATACTTTTTTCTTTTGAAAAAAAGCCTTTACTGAGGTTTACTATTAAACCCTTTACGTAGCCTGTTTGCTAGTGTAAGGGAAGCCAGGTGAGGTCGTATTACGGGGTAGTTCCCCAAATTACGGCCTCATTGAATTAAATAGTATTCTGCAAGGTAAGACTCAGAAAGAATGTGCCAGCATTTTTGCATTACAAAATCATCTTTGGAAGAATTGCTCCCCTAAGGAAATCAGATTCAACTCGCTTAAAAATCCTGAAGTTGCAGAAACGGTTTTCTAATATTAATCGACAGGAGAAAACGATCTGACCGTTGCTGAGGGTAAGTTCGTGGCAGCATGAGGATGTTATCGATGTTTCCTGTGAGGATGTCAGTTTAGTAAAAGCGGGTGCTGTACGTACAGCTGCACTCAGGAATGAAATACAGGAATCTGAACTGCCTTCCCTTCCTCAAATCAATAGCCTGTGATGGATCATATGTTTTAGCTGAAGTTGTTTTACCCAAGTATTAAGGTGACTTCAGAAACCGCCTTAGGTAAAGAAAAAAGTAGGACCTGGTCTTGCAAATTGGCTGGCTTTTTCCATAGAATGCAGTCTTTTTCTTCTTAAAATGTCATTTATTCAATTAAATTATTAAAAATATGTTAAAAAACATTTATTGAGCACCAAATGTGTACAGCCTGATCGATACTATTCATGATCATGCCTAGTTTATTCTTGTCTCAAAGCTACATTTGAACGCTCGTCTGGTATAGTGGTTCAGTTTCCATGCTCTGCTTCCGTGGCCTGGCGTTCGCAGGTTCAGATCCCAGGCAAGGACCAACACACCGCTCATCAAGCCATGCTGTGGTGGCATCCCATGTACAAAGAATAGAGGAAGATTGGCAAAGATGTTCACTCAGTGACAATATTCCTCACCTAAATAAATAAATAAATGAATAAACAGACCTGAAGAGAAGGAAAAAGAGGAAATGTCATTTAGGTGCACGGGTCATAATTTAGAATACAGAAGCTCCGGATTTAAGTTCTGTTGAGCCCATTAGTCATTGAAACTTCTTGTGCTTCAATTGTTCCATCTCCAAGTTGGACCTAGTGTTTCTCCCACCAGCCTACAACGTGGGTCCCCTGTGAGATCCAGCCATGGCATATCTGTTCCCCCTTTGTGTTTCCATGAGCAAGTATTGAGCATGTAAAGCATGGCGTTCCGAGGGTCCCGAGTTCATGGGATCCTCTGTGCCAGCGAGGAAGAGAGCGGGCTGGAGAGAGCAGGAACGTGAACAGTGGCTCTCAGGCATTCCTCCGCCTGCCTTTCTGATGCCTCACTAGATGGTCTCTTATTTGAAACCCAGAGCTTTGAGATTGGTTAAATGATAAAGGCAACCTGCGGAAAGAGCTGTGCTGCACGTAAGGCCAACTGTAATCTTTAGGTTGGTCCGTGAAACACCCCGAAACTTGTGGAGAAATGGAAACGAAGCAGGGAACGCTGTGGTCAACAGAATTGTAAAATATTAACCCACAACCTTGACTTCTAACCTCATTCTCTTTCCCCAGCCACTAGGAACAGACCCTTCATACACAAGGTCACATTAGGATATCCAAGCCTGTTTGCCTTCAGCTTGGCTTCCTGTGACCCACTCTGTCCCAGATGGGTCAACGAAGGGGATGCAAATAATGCAGACACTACCCGATCCAGCAGAAAAGCTTTTAAGAGAATCGATGATTATGCAAATGCAGGGCTTGTGCTGGGCTGGGCTTACCAGGATGTGTCTCATTTGCCCCAAACAACTTCCTCTGACAAAAGTTTTTGTTCATTCATCCTTTATCATACCTCCAAATGGTAGAAATCAGATCATGAAATACTTCAGAATACCACAAACACTTTAAATTGCGAGTTCATGTCTACATTTAACATTCTGTGGTGATTACATCATGGTTCACACTTGGTCTTGAATTCTTTTGTTTTTTATATTAATATTTTTGATATTGGGATGTTTTCAGATCCTTATTATTTGGTAGCGCATCATGTTTGATGGTATATAATAATTGATTTTTAGGAAGCATTTATTAAAATATCGTAGTCCCTTTTCCTATTTTTTAATATTTTGAGGTGTTTTTCATTTCTACAGAGAAGGAAATCACAAGTGTGTCTTCTCTGAAAGAGCCCTCATCGCTGTCACGTCTGCTCCTCAGCTTTAAAGCTTGTCCGGGCAGGTTCTGCCTTTGACTTACTTATGTCTGCTCCGCAGTACTTAGCATGGTGACCTGCACTTAGTAGGTGCTTCATGACTGTGTATTTTATAAATGAATATAAAAGGACAAAACAGAGGCGAGCGGTTTCCCAGGAGCATCAGTGTGCTGAGAGGTTTGGGGGTGGCTCAGCACTGGGGTGCGACCTCACGACCTACATCCCCACATTGGAACGCACTCTGCTCGGTAGCCACAGGCCCTCAGGCCAGTTGAATAAGCGCTGTGCCCTCTGTCCTACCTTCCGGAGCCTTTGAGGACTCAGTGAGAGAATGTATGCACCGTGCTACAGTGTGGGCACAGGTCACATGTTGCAGACTGTTGGGTTGGCCTAGAGAGCCGGGCGGCTCAGGGCTCGGGGGGACGAGTGGGCCGGTTCTAAGCGGCAGACAGAGTGGAGGACCAAGTCCACAGCAGCCGAGGAGGGAAGTGGCTCGACTGCGAACTCCTTCCCTGCGGGAGTCGGGTCTTGGCTGCTGCCCAGGGGGAGGCAGGGTCTTCCAAGCTGGGAATTATTGCAAGGAGCACTCTCTCAGATTTCTAAAAATAAAGAAAAACTCAAACTTAAACTGACTTTCACTTGAATTGCATATTTGATATACCCCAAATTCCAGGACATTGTATTTTATTCTTATTTTTTAAATAATTTAAATGTCGATGTATTTTACTTTTGTGCTCCTATAAGACTCGTGAACAAATTAACAAGTTTTAAAAAGACCTTTGTTATATTATGTATCTCATTTTTTTCCCCTGAAAAATGAAATGTTACAAATATATCTCATGGCCCAAACTGGGTTTTTGGATATTTGGACAATGGCTGCCTGGTTCCTGGAAAAATCTCATGAATTTTTTTCTCTACTGAGTAGAACCCGACTTCTTTCTTCCTTCCCAACCTCCCTGTCCCTCTCTCTCTTTCCAGTACAAGTGCATTTAAAATGTGTTTACTACATTTTTCTGAACTTAATTAAATAGATTTCATGGGGGCTGTAAGTCTTAGGGAAGCTTAGCAGCGTCTCTCCAATTCTTCTAAACCCAATAGAGCAAAACTTCTCACAAGGACGAAGTGTTTAGGCTTTGCTTGAGGTTTAGATATTTATAGCCAGAATAATCTTTGGAGATTTGTCATTTAAACTCTTCTTTTCTCGGCTGAGGAAACCAAGGTCCATGAACAACTTTGACTTGAGCTCCACATCCAGCGCTGATCTCACACTGGTTCAGGATAATTCACTCTATTGACCAGTGACATCCACACTTCATATCCCCTTTTTGTTGGTAATACCAGTAGTGACAGGAAGTAGTGAGTGATACAGCCATTCATTATATCTTTTAGGTTGTTCTCCGTATTTGGAAAGAATGTATCTTGGCAATACATTCAAGATTAATAAAAATATTTATGCATTTTCACTCATTCCAGGGAATTTTTCATAAGTAATCTAAGAAGTAAAAAAAAAAAAAAAAGTAAAAATACCTGACGCTAGAGAAATAAGTAAATAAAAATAGATGAAATATGATGTGGCCATTAAAATAATAGTTATGGAGGCTATCTAGTAATATGAAGAATATTTATGCTGTTAAATTACACAGAAGAATACAATCTTACACTGTAGTTAACGAGTGCCACCATCACCCGTGTGTATGGAAAAGGCTACAAAGTGAACGTTGAGCCATGAAAATAGTTCATCT